AACTTGCCTCCCGTGGCCAGCGAAATCGACCGTACAACAATCCCAACAGAGAGTACTAACTAGCAGAGACCATCGCCGGCACCATCCCAGGGGAACGAGCCACCCCCTCCTCGCGCACTGACCCTCCCCTCGCATCCACTCCCAGCCTGTGTAATCGCATCCTGTGTGGCAGGCACAAAGAGGAAGGTGAGAAACTCAGTGAAATTGCCCCCCCAAGCACCATTGCCCTCCCTTTGACCCCAGGGTGGTTTCAAAAGCATTTGAGAAACACCCCCCCCCCTGTAAGGGGAGGGCCGGAGGGCGACGAGTGGCTCTGCTGTGGTTGCCAGTGATGTCGTAGGTGTTGTTGACGTTTCGGTTGCCGCATTCATCACCAGCAGAATCGTCAATGTTGTTGAAGTCGTCGTTTTGACCGGCGTCGTTGTAGATGTCATCGTCGTAGTCTTCGTTGATGTTGTCGCAGCTTTTTTCGCTGTTGTGTATGTGATTTGCAGGATAGCTGTTGTTGCTGTTTGGTGCAGATCACTCTCTGCGTCATGCGCAAACAAATGGCTGGGGAATTATTGAATCTCAAGGACCAATCCTAGAAAACGTTTTCACATCACTCATAATTGATTTTCAATTGTCCGTGATTATGAAACCGTGGCACCGACGGAAGTCCCCGCTAATTGGTTCCATCGCACCGTTACTCCACTAAGTTGGGGTATCTAGTAGCAACTCCGCATGCGCATGTGAACTGGAAAGTGGCAAAAAGGTGGATGGAGACCTCTTGCATTGCCGATTCCCTGTGAACTCGCACCATAACGCGACCTCTCGGAAGTGGCAAAAAGGTGGATGGAGACCTCTTGCTTTGCTGATTCCCTGATTTGTCTCACTCATGCTTTACCAGCCTTCTGGAAACTGCTGATGGACCTGGCGGTGGGCAAACCATCGAGCTTGCTATGGCTGATGATGCACCAGCCTCCAGGCCCTTTACGTGGCCACTTCGGTGTGCCGCAACGGACTTTGAGAACCTATCCTGAATGCAAGGTGTGCCTGGGCACCCGGATGGAAGACTTCAACACTTTGCTCTCCTGTGTGAACTCTATAGACCCTTCTGGGATTGGTGCCGACATGGACATGTTCCACTGCCAGCTGCAGTGATACGCTGGACTGAGCAGTTTGTTCTTTTAAGAGGGTCGCCTTGAAAAACACCGCTGGCCTCCCCCCCCCTGGTATGCATATGCAGAGGAAACGATCAGTGGAGCCATTCTTTGAGCCTTGTGGACACTTCTGTAACTCGGCTGTCAGAAGGGGAGAACATTGCAACTGATCTGCACGACCTGAGCTGGGTCACCTATGCCAAGAGCGTGCCCACCGCGCATGGAGCCCTTCAATGGCAGATGATTCACCAGTGTCTGCCCACGCCAGACTGGCTGGTCTCACGGACAGATCTGTGGCAGTGGTTACTTCCATGTTCTACAGGAAGATTCAATCCAATTTTGCTCATTTGGTGAAGCGTGGCAATGTTCTGTGTGTGTGAGTGTGTGTGTGTGTGTAGGATGAGCAAAATCGGACTGAATCTTCAGCGAATATGGAAATATACACTGCCACACTTTCTTTTTCTTCGTTTTTTTTTTTCTTTTCTTTTTTCTTTTCTTTTTTCTTTTGTTGTGTGTGTGTGTGTGTGTGTGTGTGTGTGTGTGTGTGCTGTCTCTTATACACATCTAGATGTGTATAAGAGACAGGTGTGTGTGTGTGTGTGTGTGTGAGAGAGAGAGAGAGAGAGAGAGAGAGAGAGAGAGAGAGAGAGAGAGAGAGAACAGGCAATCTCCAACCTTGCGGCTGGCCTCACGCCACTTCCATGGACAGGATGAGCAAAATTGAATGAATCTTTCGCCAGACATGGGAATATACACTGCCAGATTTGTGGATTCAGTCCACAAACCGCAGCCAAAAATGACCGCGTTCATAAAACCGCGCTGCCCGAGTGTTCCACACAATTGTTGCATAATGGCGCTTCCCAAATTATATTCACACAAGCCCGAAGCAACCTCGGCCCAGACAGTTGCCGCCAGAGCCTCGGCTCGCTTACACTGCCGCCTGGGTCTTTTCCCACCACACTTGCGCGTGGGACCGTCGGGTTTCGCCTCTGCCTGCAGGGCGCCCTTTCTGCCGAGTTCCCCAACCTGGGAGCCGGGTCTCGAGTGAGCCGTCACGCGAAACTTGCTGTTTCCTTTAGCAGTATGTAGATGTCGATAGATGTAGATCGATGTAGATAGATAGCGATAGCAGTATAGCACAATACAGCAACAGCTTGGAAATGACTCCTGTGACTGTATGGCAGGCCCTTAGGTTCCAGAATACTGTGGCCACTGTCCAACCCAGCTGTGATTAATGGATTATGGACCCTCTCCCATATACCGTGCCTATTTTCCAACCCATCTATGGTTAAACCACCAGTATATTTTCTGGCAACCTTCTTTTCTTTTTTTTTTTCCCGAAAAAGACAACATCGACTGCGGTTGTAGAACGGGTGCTGGTGAGAGCACTTTTTCAGAGTCGCGGCGTGCATGATGTGCATGCAGCTGCGACTCTCAGGAAGTACCAGGGTGGCATTTCACTGGATGTCCATCCAGGCAAAACGGGTTGCATGGGAGGTTGAATGGTGCCCCGGTACTTCCCGAGAGTCGCGGATGCATGCACGCCATGGCTCTGAAAAAATGGCTGGGAAACGTAGTGGCGATGGACCCTCCCCTTATTCTGTGGCGATTTTCCAGCCCATCCATGGTTAATGGAGCCTCCCCAGTACTTCTTCCACCACACGTTCATTTCTGACTCCCGTTGTATCACCTACCCCAATCACCTTTCCTTTGCAATTTTTTTTTAGTTCCCCCCCCCCCCCCCCCCCCCCCCC